TTTTATTTATTCTTAGATAAGTAAATGGGATATCTATGCTGTATAATAAAGAAATTGATTATAAAATGTATATCTTCGTAGAGAAGAACAAAATTGTAATTAATTCGTTTTAATTTTATTTCTTACTATTGTAGAGATTTAACAAATTTATCTTTTTCTCTATGCAACAATTATTATTTTACTACGAAGTTATCCGTACTTTTGTATATTAGAAGATTGTTATATTATTAGAAGATAAACATCAAATATCGCGCCATAATATGTGGTTAGTTTTACTTACTTAACATTTCCATTTCGTCATATCCAATCAAATATGAGAATGTTATAAACACAAGTTATTTAAAAATAATTTAAAATATTTAAAATATTTAAAATATTACACGTTAATTCTTACTTAAAAAATAAAGTTTTTATATTGAAACATTGTCAAAACATAAAATTATTGACTTTTCTATAATACTTTACAGCTACAATGTAAGTAGGTACAGATGTTCCTACGACGTAGACAATAGATAACTAATTGAGTTTTCACTTACCTTCACATGTATTGATGATGGATGAACCAATATCATCATCGGAAAAATCGAAGAAGATTAATGTTATAAGTAAACAAACAATTCATCAAATTTGTTCTGGTCAGGTGAGGTTAACCTACGAGTATACTAATATTCAACCTTTATATATCAACGTTATATATTCAATATGTAATATTAATTATTTTTTAGCAAATAAATATATGTTCTATTATTCTTAGTTATTTATTAAAATGTATAAGGTTACCCTACTTTCACGTCTGTATCTTAATTACTATAACATAATATTTCTTTTATAATTATAATTATATCATAAAAATGTCGGTATAGAGCATGGAGTATCGTAGTTATGAACAGCTAAATATTTTAATATGATGCCAATTTTTAAATAACATTGAAAAATGTTTCAGACATAGTATATATGATTTTGGTTATATTGTATAAGAACAATCTTTTTTAATCACGTTTTTGTAGAATACTGGTACTTTTTAAGTAATCCAACTTGATTCAAATTAAATAAGATATTCTTTATATGGTATAATTGTGCTTTTAAATCTATTGCTTATTAAGTAGTAGGTAATAACATATTATCGATTTAAGTTTATTAAATAATTACATTATTTAACTATGGTATTAATAATTATTATTATTTGTTCATTATAATGAGGCTTAAAAGCTACTACAGTCTCTGTTAGAAACATCTATATTTTATATAATCATAATATAATACAATATAGCAAAATATAACATGATACATAATATATTATCGATTAACATATTATGATATAATACAGCATACATATCACAATATAATATATTGAAATATAGTATAGTGTATTTCAGATTTGACAAGTTCTTTGATTCAGAGGTTCAAGTTCAGATTTAACAATTTAATTGTTAGTCTTATCTGTTTCCTGAAGTTTCTTTAGTTTTAGCTTGATTTAATATTGCCCATGTTAGTCCTCCAGACAGAATTCTCATAGCTTCATGCAAGCCTTAATAAATTTTGTCAATTCCCATATTTACTTCTCATATATATTCTTATATATATGATATACAATAATAGTTAGGTAATATATATATGTATGCATGTATACATAAAAAATTTTACTAGGTAATATTTGATCTTGCAACTGCTGTCAAAGAACTGGTAGAAAATAGTTTAGATAGTGGTGCTACATTAATTGATATTAAATTGAAAGATTATGGAAAGACATGTATCAGCGTCAGTGATAATGGAAGTGGTGTTTTAGAACAAGATTTTGAAGGATTAGGTACATATATGCATTCATATATCTGTGTATATTTAATATAGAAGAGAAATTACAAAATAGTTAAGTAATATTTACATACATTTTTCTTTCATCAGGACTGAAGCATTATACTTCTAAACTTCGAGAATTCTCAGATTTAACAGAAGTGAGCACGTTTGGATTTCGAGGAGAAGCTCTTAGTTCACTTTGTTCTTTAGCTGACTTAAGTATTGTTACAAGACATTCTACAAGCGAACATGGTTTTAAATTACAATTTGATCACAATGGTGCACTGCAAAAAAAGGAACCATGTGCAAGAGAAATAGGAACTACTGTGCATATAAAAGATATATTTAAGTGCCTTTCTGTTAGAGCAAAAGAATTTCAAAGAAATCTTAAAAAGGAATATATTCGAGCTATTCAAGTACTATATAGCTATTGCTTAGTTTCTACTAATACAAAAATAACATGCTCCAATTGTGTATCGGACAAATCCCCTAATCTTGTAATCAATACTGTTAGTCCCAGTAATATTTTAAGCAATATTAATTTAATATTTGGCAAAAAATCTTCAAATGGACTTATTAAAATTGAACTGTTACCTCCTGATGAAGCAACATTGCAAGAATATAACTTATCAAGTAATGTAGTTGTGGATTTTGAATGGGATTGCTACATTAGCAGCTGTGATCATGATGTTGGACGTTCTGCTCCTGATAGACAATTTTTTTATGTAAATGGTCGACCATGTGATCTGACAAAAGTCAGTAAATTAATAAATCAAATTTATCATAAATATAATAATAAACAATATCCATTTATTTTTTTAAATTTGAAGTTAAATAAACACTCAACTGATATTAACGTAACTCCAAATAAGAGAATCATCTTCTTTACACAAGAAAATTTAATTTTAGCAACTTTAAAATATAATTTATCATCTAGATGGGACAAATTACAAGGAAATTTGACTGTAAACCCTGTACCAGAATTAAGTTTTGGTGTTAAAAGAACAATTTCACCTACAAATGCTGATCGACCAATCAAAAGATTTCATAATTTAAATACAATATCAAAAATAGAACATACAGAAAAACAAAATATACAACACATTAATAAAAATAAGACTATTCAATATGATAATGATAATGATAATGAAAATAATATAACAAATAAAACAAAAATATTAGATAGCGTACAAATGACAATTAGCATTCTGGCAATAAAACAACAACTTCAAGAAAAGCAAAATCTTTTATCAAAATGTGTGATTTCAAGTACACGGATCAAGTTTAAGGCACAGATGGATCAACATTCAAATGCTGAAAATGAATTAAAAAAACAATTAACAAAAGATTCTTTTTTCCAGGTTATTTATATTTTACTGAATTATTGGATTCTATAAGTTTTAATTTTTTAGCACATCATGTATTATTTTGTATTTTATTATCTTATAAGTTTAACATGATAGTTATTTTCTTATACAGTTTCTATAAAAAGAATATTTTACAGATGGAAATTATAGGTCAGTTTAATCTTGGTTTTATAATAACACGTTTGAAAGAAGATCTTTTCATTATTGATCAACATGCTACCGATGAAAAATATCGTTTTGAGAAGCTTAATAATGAAACTCAATTACGAACCCAAAAATTAATTATTCCTAAATTTTTAAATATTTCTCCACTTAATGAGACAATATTAATTGAACATCAAAAAACGTTTGAAGATAATGGTTTTTTTTTTAAAATAGATTCTGAAGGTGAACAAAATAAATTAAAAAATGTTTTAATTGTCATAAGTAATTAGTACTTTTGAAAGAATGTATAATATATTTTTAATTTATTCAAATATAAATAAATATAGTTCAAAATATTTTGGTTTAGGTGAATCTGGTCATCGTGTACAACTTACAGGTATACCAGTAAGTGGTCATTGGCAATTTGGACAAGATGACATCGAAGAATTGATTTTTCTTATTAGAGAAGGTGGTATAGAAAACCAAAAAAATAGTACATTTCGCCCAAGTCGTGTAAGACAAATGCTAGCATCAAAAGCTTGTCGCAAGGCAGTTATGATAGGTACGGCTCTTAATAACAATGACATGCATAAATTAATTACTCAAATGGCAGAAATGGAAAATCCTTGGAATTGCCCTCATGGTAGACCGACAATAAGACATCTGTTATCATTGAATCTTATATATAAATAAATTATATTTTATATTCTATGTATTATATGTATGTATACATGAAATAAAATATATATAATTAAAAATTTAATTGACAGTATGCCTCGTAGATTAAAAGCATTGAAAGAAAGTAAAGGAAAGTGGACAAAATACCAGGTTGAAACCTTAATTCAATGAGTATAATTAAAATGCAAAACTGTAAACATGGTTTGAGATGTCCATTTTTGTAAAATGTTCTGTACATTATTAATGTTAATAAAAATGAACTATTACATTTCGTTAATCAGACGCAGCTTGTAGTTACTGTTACCTAATCTTTACCGATCACTTGAAAAATTAGTCGTAGTATCGCCTTTTGCATAAAATCAGAGGAGTGTGTTTACACTTTTGCTCGTCACTGTATCTCTCATTTATTTAACCTTAATTCAATGAGTATAATTAAAAAATTCAATGAGTATAATTAAAATGCAAAACTGTAAACATGGTTTGAGATGTCCATTTTTGTAAAATGTTCTGTACATTATTAATGTTAATAAAAATGAACTATTACATTTCGTTAATCAGACGCAGCTTGTAGTTACTGTTACCTAATCTTTACCGATCACTTGAAAAATTAGTCGTAGTATCGCCTTTTGCATAAAATCAGAGGAGTGTGTTTACACTTTTGCTCGTCACTGTATCTCTCATTTATTTATGATACAAAAAAATGACATTTTTGACATTTGAAACCACTTTGAAATATGTAATATACAGGATGAGCCACGAGAAACAGGATAACAGGAAGAATGTCTTTCTTATTTGTCTTTATATAAAAAAACTATTGAGGAAAAACTAAATTATTTGAAAGCTTACATATATATAATGGTGAGAAAAGATTTTCTTATGTGTCTTATTACGGAATTTCGAAATCATCAATGTTTTTTAAATGGCACCAAACATTTCTAATTTTATTGCATTGTAGCTAAAATGGAGTATTTATGAGCATGTTATTACAAGATACAAAAATTTCAAAATGATAGAAAGTATTTTATAAACATTGGACTTTTTATTGGACAGATTATACACTAATTGTACGAAATACATTAAATCCAGAATGTGCCGTTGATATTACAGTACCAGGACATTGAGGATGCCAATGTAATTCTTTTATATCAGTTTGACCTTGATGTATAAATAACAGTTGTGGTGGAAGTTCCTTTAATTCACTGTCTTCTATCTTTTCTGATGGATCGACTTCTACTGATAAATCCCACTGAGCAATTTGATCATCAGCTCCACCAGAAGCAAATACAGTAGCCTCTTGAGGGTGCCATTCTACTGTTGTAACAGGTGCAGTGTGTTGCTTAAATATGGCTACTGCTTTTGTATTATTAGCACTAAACTGGCGCAAATCCCATACACAAACCAAGCCATCATCACCACCAGATACAAGAAACTGACTTTCTTTACAATTCCATGAAATAACATTAACATCAGCAGTATGTGTACTAGCTATTGTTAACATGCATGCAGATTGTGGACTTGCTCTTGTATCCCAAATTTTGATACTGTTAAAGTTACAGCATAATTACAAAAGTATATTAAAAACTTGATATTAGTTATGGTATTAAAGTAAATAATAAAACGTACATTAACCTAATAGAAAATTATTAGAAATTTAATTAAGATCATACCTTTTATCAACAGAACATGAAGCAAGTACATGTCTTTCATTAGGTGACCACTGAATATCTTCAACACTGTATGGTGCATGTGAATTATAAGGTCGTTGATCCACATGCCAAGTTGAAGAATTATTAAAATGCCATATATGAATGTTACCCTTGCAATCACCAGAAGCTAACATGCCTACTTGTGTTGGACACCAATCAAGTCCATATCCTTCTGAAAGATGTCCTTTAAAACTAAATAATGGTTTGATGTTCCCATCATTTTTTTTAGACTCCTTATTATATGCACGTAGCAATTCATCATTATCAAGTGCATTTAATTGTTTATCCAAATCCCAAATATGTACACGTCCTAATTCACTCCAACTTGCTGCCAGAGCTTTATTACCAATTCTTTTATATCTATTGAAATAAATAAACACATTTTAACAACCAATAAATGTTATTTTTTTAAATTATTTATATTGGAAATTTACATTATTGGTAACTTTATGTTGGTATCTGGTATTATGGTTATTAAAAGGCAATAAAAATATATATTTACCTAACTCTATTAACACAACCTTGATGCTTCATTGGTGCAACAGACAAAATTGGTATATTCGTATCACTTTCGCTATGTAATTCATCATCATCTGATTCATCATCAGAATTATCTTCTATACCACATAGATTTTTCATTTTCATAACAAGGAGATTGTTAACATGCGTCTTGGCAGCTTGAGTTCCAGCCACAAGATATATATTCAATGGGTAATCTTCTCTATTATTACCCAAGTCATCTAAAATAATATCAAAACTAAGACATGGAGCTCCGGATTGGGCATGATGTAACATTCGATATGCTGTCTTGTCCACAATAAGTTCTTCTCCACATTCTAAAGACTTTCCAGGAAGATATATCTTAGATTTATTATTTTCTACTTCATCACTTGCAATAGAATCCTCTTCATTACTATCACTGCTACTTTCTTCCATATCCTCATCAACTTCACTCATTTGTTCATACTCCATTTCTTTAGAAATTTCTTTATAGAAAATAGTCATCTTAATAAAAATACATCTATAATTAGAAATAAAGAAAAACTTAAATAATCAAATACATATGCGAGTAATCTAACCTTAGTATGCAATAAAGCTATATATGTATGTATATAAATATAATGAATATTTTTTTATATTAACATTTCTAACATAATATGTTAGTTCAACATATTATTTGAAAAAATTTGTGTGTTACAAAATATAAGTGTTAACAAATGTATCGTTAATATAAAAAATTCTATAAATTACCTTTCACAACACAGATTCGGAGCACGTGAATGAAACAATATCTGAGAAACACTTTATAGGTTATACGTTGTATTAAAGAGTAATAGAGAGTAGGGAAATCGTCGGTTGCCGCCAATACTTATGGATTTGAATTTATATCAATAAAGCATATATTATATAATATATAATAATATATAAGAAATATATTATACAATAACATACAATATATGATATACATATAATATATTATATAATAACATACAATATAATATATATATATAATATATATATAATATTATATAACAAAGATCACCGAAATCTTAGAAAACGTAATGGTTCTACAATTTCACAAAAATATGAATTAAAAAATGTAAATGTTTGAAAAAGGCGTTAATAGTAGTATTATTTACATAATATATAATCATTTTTCACTTAAAGCAAATGTAATAACATTTTCGTTCGAAAAAAATCATCTAAATGTTTATATACCGGATAGATGAAAGTTATTTAAATTCACCAATAGAACCAATTGAGAACGAAATATAATTACAACAATTTTTTTCTTTTTAAATATGTTTTTTCTAAATTTGTACCTTGTACATATATCTAATTTATAAATATAATTATTATACAAAAGTCTCTCTCTGAAAACACTGTTGAAATAATCAACCTCCTTCAGATTAGCACGGCGAAACTACGTAATTTTCTTTAAATTTAGTTTTCTATTAATAATCGTTAAATTTTGTAAAAAAATAGGAAACGAATTTATCTACAAGTGGCGAACATAAGTATTAGTATATCTATTTAACATATTTATTAGATAATTATAACAAATTTTACTTTATTTCGGTTATTTCATTGCAATGCATACATGATACAAATGGAATAATAGATTTATAATAAATTAACTAGAAAATAAAAGCAATGGAAAGCACGTAATTTATAAAATATGTTAATAAATGCCCTAGTATATGGTATGTACTACATACTTAAGGCTGGCTGTCTATGTTTACTCTGGCAGTGCTCCGTTGCCGTGCGTGCGTTTCTCCTCTGTTTGCGTTGCCGTAAGAATTCCCCCTTTTTGGATACATAGGATTATATGTATAAAGGCAAGTAAAAGCTTTTACTAGTGATTCTTCAAAGAAATACTCGGTTCCGTGTGCATAAAGGATGAAGAATTTACTAGAAATAGTATTTACTTAAGATTTACCATCATTTAGTACCAAATACTAGCAAAAAGTTATGCATAAAAGTAAAAGCTTTTACTAGTGATTCTTCAAATAAATACTCGGTTCCGTGTGCGTAAAAGATAAAGTATTTACTAGAAATGGTATTTACTTAGGATTTACTATCATTTAATACCTAGTACTAGTAAAAGGTTATGCATAAGAAATCTAGTATTTGTCTTTTACGTGTACTTAATACATACAAGTATTTGCTTATTTTTATGCATATGGCACATGATATCACATTACCGGATTATCCCCACTGCCATTTTATAGTTACGTCACGTTACGTGCATGATTACGAATTACGACACGCGCGACTTCTCATTTTTCACCGGTACGAGGTACGAGTTGAGTCGTACAGTTGCACGTCGCATTGTAGCACATTTCTCTTCGCGCCGTGCATTAGCACGTTTCTCCAAAACCACCGGGGACGATAGTGCAGCTATTGGCCACAAGAGGCTCTTATTTTTAGTGTCCATTTTTGGCAGACTTTTTTAACATTGCTCTGATGATCTCCCGACTCATCTCTGATTATACATTCGTATCGGTACCACCAAATATGTACACATATTCATTAAAATAACTATTCTATGTACTAAAATTTTTACAATATTTTTTACTATGGTTTATTGACAATTTTTTGTGCGAATCAATTTGCAACAATGCAAATTAATGACAATAACTGTGAAATTATAATATTTAGCTGCTGACATTTAGAAAGTTATACAAAATTTAAATACATAATTGCACAAAAGAAAATCTACAAAATTTGTAGTGTTCCCACGTATTTATATTTCGTTTTACATCAAATAGTTTTCATATTAGCCTTTTTTTAATGATTTATATAGAGAAAAATTTTACTTTCTTTAAACATATATTCTAAACAATCCCTAGTGTAATTCAGTTTGTAAACTAATATAGTGACCATAGCATGTAAAATGTTATAATTGTCATATAAATAAATTTAAGTTGTTATTCTTATCACATATCAACAAAACTCTTTTTCAAAACAAACTGTTCAGATACAGATATGTTTCATTATGATGTTTATAATATACTTTGAATATATTTAAACAACATGAGAGAAATGTTCTAATTGTGGAATTTCTTTCCTTTTGCATAAAACACCATCCACTTTACGTATGAAAATTATGTGCTTATTTATATATGAAGTATAAGCATTATTTTCCCCACAAAATTATGACAAAAATGAAAACTAAATTGAAGAAACTGCTCCTTTATGGACCAGTTTATTAACTAATTTATGTGAATAAGTATAACGTCGATAATAGCAAAGACAATAATAATAATGATTGCTATTATAATAATAATAATAATAGTATTTGTAATAATAGTAGTATTAATAGTAGAATAGCAGTATCAATGACAATAGTAGTAGTAGTAATAGTAATAATGGTAGTAAATGTATAATAGTAGTACTAGTAGTTATAATAACAAGATCCACTGCAATTGTACTACAAATAACAAACAGAGAAGAATGAAAAAAGAAAAGGAAAGGAGAATATACAAATGGTGTCATTTTACATATAAAATACAACTTTATATATGGTAATTGCTGTAACTGTACGAAAGGAAAGGAGCAGCAACAAATATCTAACGCTTGATAGTAATTATTCACGCAAATGGATGGTATTTAATATTAGCTGTGTTTGTTAAGGTGAGGATTGTTACTAGAATTATTCATTAGCTGAATAGATGTTACAGTGGTATGTGAATGATGAGATGGTGAAATATTGGGATTATGTCGAGGATTAGTATTGTGGAGGCTGTGTATATAAGAACGCTGGACGGGCTTGTGCTGAGCAAGCTGAAGCAAGGCCTCTGGTATAGAGAACCACTTTCGCTTTCGACCAATAGCACGTGAATCTTCCCATTCTGGCAGCTCTTCGGTTACCTGCATAACCCATACTTGTGTTCTATGTTTATGTTCCACATTCTATAAAGAAAAGTTATTTTGACCATTCATACTTTTTCGGGCAACTCTATTCTTAGAATACATTAGTTGCATTTTCATTATATTTATGCAAGTAATTGTGTTCTATATACGAGCACATTAGCACCTCGAATATGCCAAGACATCTGCCTAAATGTCCTAAAACACCAGCCTCTTCTCGAACTTCTCTTAATGCCGTTACTGCAGGTTCTTCTTCTGGTTCAACACCCCCACCAGGTACTATCCAACTATCAGGTCTTCGACTGGATGTAACCAAGAGTACCTACATTATAAATTATATAAAAGTGTAATTTCTATTTATTTTATATAATAAAAATAAAATATAACTGATATTAAAATAAATATACTCTATTAATAAAGGGAATAATATCAACTGCCATCTGCTGGCTTACCTCATCTTCCAGATCGTTTTTGACGCAGATACATGCAGCTCTACGTCTATAACCTTCTGAATCGTAAATACGGATTGAGTTTGGTTTTTCCTTGACCATGATCGATTATTAAAGTTATGAAATTATTCCATAAATTCATATTTGTCAGACGGCCAGGCAGGCCAATCTGTGCACCTGCATTGTTTTAACGTTGTTTGAAGCCGACATATCATCGACATAGAATTAACAAGCGAGCTCTAATTGCTCACATAATTTATTTAAGAAGTCTATTTTACGTCCGAATAAGAGGACGATTCTTTACCTAAATAATGCTATATTACGATAACACTAGCAATGTTGTCCTTACTGAAACTTGCTATAACCTCAAAACTTCACTACACAAGTAACTCCATCTACACTACATTTACAGTGTAATACATGATCATAGTCATAGTGTCATAAGCATATGACAGATCAGAGGAAATGAGAGTGCACACAGTGCTTACGCTCGCGCCCGTAAGTTAAGTTTTCTCCTGGTACAAGTGCTGCGCCAAGCGGTCAAGTGTTACAAAAGCTAAAAGATAGATCTAACATTTTATGAGACTTTGTAATGTTTCATCTGTGACCTGTGGTCACTGAAATATCGATCGTGTAAAAAATTATACGTTTTGTTATGCCCTCTACAATTTAGAGTGATAAGTTTAAGAATTGTAGTGAGTACCGACGAGGTACAGAATAGATGTGACATTCTGTCGTTTTTTATTTTTTCCTCTCACGTTTTGAGATCATACAACGTTATCAATTCAGTTTGAATTGAAACTAAATTTCCCTATGAAATTACAAATAAGGTACAGAACAGGATATTTTGTGCATGAAGTATAGAATTCTATATTTTTGCAATATATCCTTAATTATACTCCAAGCGTATTATGATACAATTGAATCGTAATTTTGTGTAGAACCTATTATATTCTTAATGTTTTTTAATTTTAATGCGTTCTGACTATAGTAGTTTTAAAGATATGTTTGTATAATAATTATATTGTAAAAAATAAGTATGGATTATACATTATTGAAGGTAGAATTAAGTTATATTTATTAATATATATATAACAGAAGGTTAAGTACGTTAATCACTATAGAATTACCTTTAATTGTAAAGATTATTGTATAATTTTTTAATTTAATCAATAAATAGGTTTTTAAAAATTGCCACCTTTTACGCTGTCATGTTTTCCTGATACGAAATGACAAAAACAATTCAAAGTTTTGAATATGATATCACTTCCAAGAATAGGTGAAGTTGTGTTGCCTCCTTTGTTATCATGTTCTTCTGATACAAACTCGCAAGAGCGGTCGAAAAATTGTTCGAGGCACCAAAAATTTCAACCAAGAAATTTCTGGCATATGATGTTATTTCCAAAACTCCAAGAACGTCACAGTTCAGACACACCGGGGTACCTAGTGATAGGCATGAAGCAGGGCTTTGTGATGCCCAAGATATATATGTATATCGTACGTCGGGTCGTCTATGTAAAAATCTTCGAGGATGAGGAGATGTGAGCCGATCAGCTATAGTTTCCGCGGAATTAGAGAAGACGCTACCGTGTGGATTTCTGATACACCGGTCGTATCAAGAGATTCCATCTTCTCTATGACAGGCGTTACGATACGAGTGTCTCCTATTACTCTGAGCGGTTCTACGATTCCCAGAGGATAGCGGTTTATGACAGCGGATTCGTATAGTTCGCGAACAAGTTTCTGCAATTCATGTTTACGACCAGCACGACGCGTCTTCGGCATCGAGTTGTTACTGAAATTGACTTAACAAAAAAGGGAGCTAACAAAGGCCCAGATTCATGACTAACGAATGGATTTCGTTCAAGTTACGAGCAGTGGTCCTCCCTGTAACTCAAATTTGCGAGTACACCGAAACTATAATTTCGACTTGTCCCTATTTGCTTAATGCCAAAAAGAAATGGATTTAAGAAGTGAATAGAATGTTTAACTATTAGTAAGAACTTATATTTAAAACCTTGTATTCAGTATTGAAGAATATAAGACTGATACGATTATTATAAATCTTATATACTACGAAATATACTAATAATAGATTGTCCCAAAAGTTCTTTCGTTTTATAAGGAAATAATAGACGCACAACATTTTTTTGTTTATATTATTTTACTGAATTACGTATGATTCATTTTGTAGTGTGTACCACTACACGGTAACGCTAAGAATTGATAACGTAATGGAAATAGTAATGGAAGTACAAGAACCTATTTACTTCTATGTACCATTGATAAATCTCAATAAAATAGGTTTCTTCGTTAGTTGGTAAGATAGGGAATTTCTTTGCCCTGTAGTTGGCATGGCACACTTTTGAAGTTCGTTTCATTACTTACTTTACTTCACTATCTATATATTATTTTATCACACTGCATACATATTTCAATTATTCTAATTTGTTATCAGCATAAATTTTTGCTAATAAACAGTTGGAAGTAAGAGTTCGGAGACGTGGCGAGCACAGAGGAAAATTTTGTCTAAGTTTATTATAAAGTTTAGATTCGCGTTAAAATGTTGAAGTGTTTAAATAAATAAGTTAAATTCTGATAATATAAAAGTAAAGTATTTATTTGTTTAAAATAGGCAGCAATATCCTCAAAATAATTACTCAATGACCTCTTCAGAAGAAAAAATAACATTGCACAAAATGATGATATGCATAGTCGATAAAGTTGATTATATTATTAACATATAAAAAAGATAAATCACACGCATGTACTCATATATAAAAATTCTTAAACATTAATTTTGAATGAGCTGAGACTTAAGTCAAACACAGAATTTTAATCATTGGGTAATTATTCTATCAAATAGGTTATTTCAACAATATTGATTTTATCTACTGCACTTTATATTGGAGATATATCTAATATATTACATAATAAATGATATCTATTATATATGCTATAATATTATATACATTAAATTCTTGCGTGTAAATACATATTACATCTAAATAATTGTCAATGTACTCTGCAATTTTACACTTTTAATTGTATATTCATAATGATTTTTATATTGACATTAATAATAACATTATACCAAGATACTAGCAATAAAATTGTTATGAAATTTATGAAAATTATTATAAAATTGAATGTATATACTTCTTTCTTAATATTGTGTAGTTCAAATCACAGATGAGTATACAGCGTCCTATTCTTAGTCAATGATAAAACTTACGATCTATATATAAAATAAGAAGAATATAATTACAATAATGGTTTATCATAATAAATAAAATTATTAAATCATAATAAATTCAATAATCTCGCCTTTGTAAACTGCTGGAGCATTGTTTCATTTATAATGAAGTCATTGGATTAACAACTTTAAAGGAATATGAGTTTATCGTACTGGTAATTCCAGATATTCCATCGTACATATATATCTCGTATATATATATATATATATTTAAAACGTTCTATATTATTCACATGCACAATCTATTAATAAATCATCTGTATTGACTTTAGATCTATGTGTAGATAGCGAAACGATCACAGTATTGTACGCGTGAGTAGTTAATAATATGCACCGAGATTAAGTGTGCAAGCCGTAGAGGCATTGCAAATGACCCTGATTGGTTACAGATCCTCGCGATCTCTGCCGCAGCGGTAGGGAGGGGGAGGGGGAGGCATTGTGATGGTCGAAAATGGTCGGAGGACCAGAAGGGATGGGAAGATTGCCGAAGGACGCTCCTTTCAGTCGAGAAACAAACGGTAGTGGGGAACTTGGATACACGTGTGACTTCCTTCCCCTTCTTTCTTTGACCTGCTCTATCTGTTTCTCTCCTTATAATCGCAACACATCGATATTTCTGTCTCACTTTCAAACATGTCTCTTTATACGCACTATTAGATCATTACCGCGACCTTTGTTTCCCACCTTCCTGGAAGATACCGAGAGGCGTTTAAATGGTTTTAATATTCTGTACTTACTACAACAAAATCGAAGAATTTTGAGTATTATCGTTAATAATTCCAGATATCTAATATATTTAAATCATGTATGTACATTACACAAAATGTTCTTTCTTCGCATGTATGTCACGTATAATGTATTAAATATGAATGCACTTAACATGTAACATTTAAAAATATTATTTCTAATATGACACGGAGCATCATGAGCATAAAGTAAAAAAATATATTGAACGGTCGAGTCAGGTGTGGCTGAAAAATTGTAAGCAGTATACAATGTATAATTAGAAGTAAATTTCCGTACCTTCTTTTTAGCCAGACGATGTCATAGAATTTCGGTCGTTTAAATAACATGTTAAAATTCTTATTGCGCAATATGCCGATATTTTTAAGTCGTCATCTGTAAAATGAAAGAAAAAGAAAGATGGATAAAATGGAAGAGAGGTGGAGAAGAGCGAGAGAGAACTGTTATTTTAATTTCTACTATTCTTTTCATGACGTATGAGATTTTTCTCATGACCTATTGGTAGCGTCAGTCACGGAAAAATATGCCGTGACGCCGTTTGACTACATTAGACACGCGCCAAATACTTCAAAACGAACACGTGCGGTTTTAAATTCTATTGTAAGAATAATAGAACGCTTTAATATCGTTTCTAAGAATATCTAAGATATAAGATCTATCCTATTTTCGACGACAGATCTAAATGTAATTGTTGATAGAAAATAAATTGTGTATAATAAAATAAATTAACAAAACACGATAATTTTAAGAAAGGAACGTTCAATAATTTACTTTATCACAGTACAGAAAGCAATACAGTAAAGTATTATAATTTAACGACATCATAAATAACAACAATAGTTATCTTTACAGCAGTTTACTTCTTTCTTCTCCCTCTTTTTTTTTTCTTTTTTTCAAAGACAGCTGGACTACCTGGTACGGTTAGCTGAATATTAACGGTCATCATTTTCGAAATAACCGGAAAACGTACCGACAGCTGATTTCTCAATGTGGAAGGAATGACATCGCTACGATGATATGCGGTTCCACAAACCGATGCTTTTCATATGTCGTTAAAATTACCGGATCTCTTTGATAAGGTCGACATGGTGTTCATAATCGACGTGTCGTCAGAGAAACTTTAATTCTTTGATTACCCTAACATTTAGTATTCAATTTGGAAAATTTCCAACAAGATTTGTGAGAAATTGTGGAATCAAAAGGAATACTTATTGCAAACATATTGGAACCATACAAGTTCTTGTCCATAATATTGTACCTACTCAGTATTAAGTTATAGCTTCAATATTAGTTATATTCTTTTCCTCCATCCCTTTCTCTATGTTTGAGAGTTTTCATTTCTATGTTATTTTAAATATTTCCAAAGATATTAGACAAATACATAGATGAATATCTTTGAGAAATTTGATTGTATTTTCTATATAATTTTTGAATGTTGGTGCCCTGTCTGGAAAAACATAATTTTATGAAATATCATTGAACGCGCATAACACAGACACACACTACGTGCACACTTGCAAACATTGAACTCACAAACTAAACATACACATGCACTCTCTACACGAGGTACAGGCCCGACTATGCACTTCTTTGTGATGTACCTTGAGTTATTCCAATACCGGCGGCTCACTTTTCATTTCAGGTGCGATAAAATGGTAAAAAACATCGTACATCAAGTTCTCTGAGGTCATTGTAAAAGGTTTGTAAATTGCTTTATGGAGGAATCTTAAATGCACTCCAAAGAAAATTTTTTAAATTCCGTGCAATCGTTTGTATATGTAAAATTTTCAAAATAAATAATAGTCTGAGAAAATGAAGTCAGCGTCACGAAAGAGTAAACTTGAAGCTTTAGTTGTTTAAAATGAATCAGGCCATGTCATGTGATTTTTTTTTTACAGAGTTACATCGATTTGGATATCGATAATTTTTCATCGAGAATTTAATGATCCTTTAATTTTGTACGCCAGTATAGTAAGAGTATTTACCATTAGAATATAATAACTTATAACAAATATTATACATGAACAAATATATACAGTGCACATAATAGTATAAATATTATACGTATGTAAAACAAACTAGAGCAACATTAACCCCTTAACTTACAACTACGGGCATAGCCTGAAGTACGATGATCGGGCCAAACGTACATATCACGGACATAGCCCGTAGTAGATGATCGGACCAAACGTACATTCTTGAACGTAAATCGTAGATTAAGAGGTTAAGATATTAGCTATGTATTTCAAGTTGCTAATGAGTTCATGAATTGCAAGTTATTCTTTGTTTTAAGGACATCTTGAAATGCAGAATAGATAAAATTGTGGAACTTGTAATCGAATGTCCACCTTTTTTCAAGATGGATATTTTCAAAGGCAAGTTTATTATTTTTCAATATGAAAATTAATTTCAATATTAAAATTATAATTTTTCATTTCTGGGAAAATCTGCTTCATAGATCTGCGGGTTAAAAGAACATGTCCGAATTTTATTTAGGGGTCAATGCCCTTTCAGTCTGGGAAAGCGCTCTAGAGCCAAGGGCTCGTGTTTTGACACCTCACAGGCGCGTGAAGCGGCGAAATTCTATGAAGCACGCGCGTCCTGCTTTGCTTTCCCGCGGAACCTTTCGGAAGATCCAATTCGAAGTGGGGATGCACGTGCCGTGGCTTTTGTTATCGAGATTGTCGTAATGTCGAAACTCAAGGCGCGTGCAAGAAAATCGTGCATTTGCGCACGCGCGACCGTGTTGCTTGCAACCATGAGGGGGGATAACATGGCGGTACTCGATCGCCGTTAGTCGATGTACGGACACCGGTAGATTTGGATCGTTTTTTCAAATTATTTAGAATGAAAAGTGGTTGTGACTGAAAAATCCACAAACAGCCCGTGCCATTGTCGTTTGCCCGCTATGAAACAATTTAATACTCGTTGTTTCGATTGGAAAATACGAACGATTCGTGTGTGCCGATCATAAAGACTTATTGCACGCGCTAAGTGACGTTTATGAGAGTTTGCTCTGACACCGGTCAGAAACGCGGTTTAAGAGTCTGCTGCCGAGTAAGTTCAATCGTCACGTTACGAAAGTGATTTTATAACTGAACCGTTTAAACAGCTTCGATACTCAGGTGATTGACAAGAGAAACAAAACGTTGAATCTTGTCGTCCATTTGAATTTGTTTTGAAATCATTGGAACCGCATCGTAACGATATCCTGTAAAATCGGTGAGTTATCACATGATATAAAATATTTATGTAGTTCTATATCTACACGTATAATTGTATCTATATATAATTGTACCTCTTACTTGGTAACTAAGCATTGCACGTTTCGATGAAACATTTCGGTTATCACTGTTTATTCTTTAATTCATTTGACCTATCGTGTGATTAAAATGAAAAAACTTTAAAGTTTCTGAAGCAAAATTTTACATATAACCTACATTTTAAACTTTAATACAATACAATTAGTATGTGCCATATGCAGTTGTCAATAAAGAATCGTCAAATTGTCGATTGATCAGTACGATCAAGTTTACTATATTTTCTATCATATTTTATTATTTACTCGAATTATAACTTGTTAAACAAATGGATATACTATAATATCCTTTAAATGCAATATATCTTTCTATAAGATATTAAGGAAAATAATATAGTAGGTAATATGTTGACGTAAGTTTTGCCATGCGGTAGCATTTATAATGTGAAATAAATAATATATTCATTGTATCGACAGAACTAGTACAGTTCTATAGCCGAATAAAATTTCATATAGTAACTATAGTACGTTGATGTCGCCACGTGCGATCTACTTAAGTCAGTTTCCTGTTGTAAATAATAATTCTTGACACAGCGATTATTTGTTCATAAATTCAGAACTTTTAAATGATAACTCCTTGCAAACGCATCATATTTAGTTTATTGTGTAAAATCTGTAAATATTTGGCGCCTTTAATGTATAAGAATAAGTTCCAGTGGCGGTGTTGGAACTTATTAATCTATTTAAGATGGTTATTTCATATATCTTAATGTTAATTATTAATGTAGCTATTTAATATAACTTCTTTTTCCAAATATTCCGACTTAACAGGTATCTTTCAAATAATTGATATTAATTATATTTTCAAAAATTCTTGTAATCTCAACGTTTTCAGTTTCGAATTTCTAAGAAATTGTAAATTTCAATTCCGCTTTTGCTGTTCGAATTACGGTAAAGGGTATCGAAAAATCACTGTTAATCCAGGAATGTTTCAAGAATGGGCAAATACGCATTATCGAACAGTCGTATGTTTCTATCAGACTAGCCACTCGGTCACTCTTTAATTGCGCAATTGATCAGCGAAGCATACGATTCTGCTCTAAACTTAAACCCGCGTCGTGTTGTCTCGATCTCCTGTCGGATCCAAGGTGTCCTGAAAAGCGAAGCAGCCCACGCTTCATCTTACTTGAGTACTTATTTTAGCCTCGAACTTGTAAAACGTACGCCGATATACGTGATCACACGTGGACGACATTTACACATGGAGTATAACGAGGGCTAGAAAAGTACTTACGGGAAGGTCAGCGAGAATTTCAATTTCCGCGTTCAATTCTTTTTTTATAGCAACGTCGTGCATCATACACTTACAAACGACCGCGCATTTGCTCGATTTTTGACACGAGTTTAACAGGTCTCTGATATATATTAAAAAGGCGGATTGACGAAAGTTTTAAGACTTACCTAGGGCAAATTCAACGAATTTTTAATGTTGGGTAATGTTTCAGCTTGAGAATATTCGAAAAATTAAAATTAAAGTTAAAATTTCGTGAGTTTATTGGTTGAGAATGTAGCATTCAAATAAATCGAGTTCAATTGAGGACGTTTATGTAAATTGATCGTGTTTGTGTAAACTTATTTTTACTAAGTATTTGTTATATATTTAATACGTTATTTAGTGCATTTGAATTTTTATACGAAATTATTCGTTATTTTTTAACATTCCCTCGATGAAAGTTCTTATATAAATCGAATATGTACTTATTTATTTGAATATTAAATGAACGTTCACTATATGCCTTAATTACTTGAAAATTCTTGACACGTGCAATTAGGTTGGTGGCGTTCTTAATAACCAAGAGGAGTCTGCTAATGCATAGGAACGGGTTATGCAGTATTACTTGCGCCAGAACACGTGTAACTCGTATGACAATCGGTTGAAGCTTGCAGATTTTAAATCACGTCGTTGATCGTGTTACGTGTTGTTTCGTCATAGGTCAATTTATCGATTCAGAACGTGCGTTACGTTTTGAAGGATTCTGAGACTTGTTCTGGCAGGATAGTATTAGTAAATTGATAAATGACAAATTGTACGTTACGGACTTTTGTAGCATAAATTGTTTCTACAATTTCATTAATAATTTATAACTTGCGACTAATAATATTCGTTTGATCGTGTAAGAAGTATTTGAATGTTTACGAATGTAAGCTAATTGACCAATTCGTCTAAGACTAATGAAATAGAGCTGAAAAAAAGGAATTTTGCATACATGCACAATTATACGTCGATTATTAGATCATCAGTGTTACATAATAACGACATGTTCCTATAGACTATAGACTATAGACTGTTATTTTATAATCCTTATATAAGATGAAGATATTTATATTCTGCTGTATCGTTTTTTTTTAACGATAATAGCGAAATTCCTTTGTTTCTCTTTCATTCTTTTTATCTACTTTTCCTTCTTTTATTACGATGTTAAAATTGTAACGCGTCTATCGAGCATTGATATTAATACCCATTATCGTTGTGTTAAATCATCGGCTGGCATTGAGTCACTTGCTTTGGAGACACGTGTACGTTATACTGTTAATTTCCTGGTATAGTATCACGAAGTAAATCGTCACGTCAGAGACAGTTTAAACAAGGCAATTGTAATTGAAGCTAATCCTCGATTTTGTTAGGTATATGTATTGAGAAAATCAAGGTTTTCCGACAGTTGTGCCATTTAATTTTATACAATGCACGAGTCACTAATTTAACGAAAATGCATTTATACATTTTCTGATTTAAAATTGGCTTGCATGCACAGTTATAGGTTTTATAATATTTTGCTTTTGCTCTTGGTATTGTTATTCAATTTTAAATAATATTTATGATCCTATTTTGTTATTTTGAAAATATCGTTTTCTTAACATTTTGATTTATATTATTTTTATTCTTAAACGTAGTACAAAGTACATATTCAGTGGTATATATAAATTGCATTTGGTATATGGTACAAATATAAAAAATATAACAAATCATATTTAATGGAAAGAATCGGCAAAATTATCTTTCTACGTGAACTGCAGTTATATACATATACAGAATCCGGCCGAATAACATGTAAAAGCGGGCTCCACGTGATTCCTTGTGGAAATATAAGAAAAGAATATGAAATAATATGAATAAAAATAAAGAATATGAATAAAATTTTTTATTCTTGGCTTAGTTTTCGAGAAAATCAAATTTGAAAGATTAGCTAGTATACATGGCTAATTTCGGACTGGACAGAATTAAATAATCGACAGGAGGTTACTTACGTGTGAGAACAAGTAAGTCGAAAATGTAGAATAATATTTCTTCACAAGACTTTTTATTTCCGAGAAAAATAAATTTGAAAATTTATCATAAGAATCTACTAGGCCGATTCTTTAATAAATATGTTCAAACTCTATTTGCCTGAAAATGAACTTTTAAGCAGAAACATTTTATTCTGAATTTTCGACCTATTTTCACACGTAGAATAACTTTTTGCCGATTATTTAGTCCCGACATTAGCCATGCTTAAGTATGCTTGATGAATTTTCAAACTCGATTTTCTCGGGAACTAAGCCGAGAATGAACAAACTTCATCCTGTATCTTTTTCCTATTTTTTCATAAGGAATCACGTTGCGTCCGCTTTTACATGTTAATCGGCCAGATCATGCTAATAAACTTTACGTACCCTGACCGATTCAGTAAGTACCCTATTTGTAATATCAATGAATTACATTCATTGAAACGTTAAATAGCATTAACTTAAATTCAGAAGAATTGAGAAGCGAATAAGGCGAGAATGTCTCCTCGTTTTTCCGATTTTCGTAGAGCTGATGATGATACAGGAACTATCATACTGCAGTGTACTTACTCCAGCCGTGCACACCCACGTGATGTGACGTGTGATCGCAATTGTAGCTAACGTGAGGCAACGTAACCGCTCAGTGGATATCTCACGCAAAGCAGAAGCAGTTCTTTCGCTTTAATTTCGTTAAGTGGTTTAAACACGTAACAATCGTGCTTTCGTATTTTATATTACGTGTACCGTCTTGTTAACGGAAATTCGGTCACGTTTAATTTGCGTATTCGTTTTTCTTCTTCTTCTGATTATTTCTATGTTATGATTCGAACAATAAATATTTCAAATTCTTTAACACGGTCTTATATTGCAAGATTGTACTTAATGTTTTGCGATCCAAGTCGCATTTCTTCGAGTCAATGTACTATCCTAATTATTCTATTCTTCTTCAACTACGATCTAACATTTCATCAGAATTCCATTTACCATTGTTACGTGTTTCATGAGAAAGATACATCCATAGTATCCTAATACATCAAACATAGATACTACTTGCAATGCAGATGCATTGATGATATACATATATATGTTATTTCATTATAGTAGGAACGGAGCGATACTGATATGGTATAATCTCCTGGTGCATTGATCTTGACAATATTTTAATACAAAGTGCATTTTTGTCACATGACATTATTATTGAATGATTAATATTGTAATGACATCGCCAATTCTTTTACGGTATGTATCTCTATCTGTATACGATTATTTAATTCTTTCACAGTGCTAATGGTGGTACCAACGAAATATTCGAAATTACCTGTAAGACGCTATAGCTCGTACTTGAAAGAACTGAACTGTAAAAACTATACAGAAGGCACAGTTAGTTCAGATCGTTGGTAAAATATTCCGGTATAATTCTTATGAATAGTACGCATCGCACATACAAACATATACAATCAGAAAGTATGAGGATATCGTTTTCTATTGTAACCATGTTAAATGAACGTAAGTGTATCTGATAATCAATTTGCATGAAGAGGAATGTTTGAAAAGAGAAACATAAATATCTATTTATCTTCATAAATATTTTACATATATGCATCAAATCAAGATGCATCTCAAGTATTATAAAATTCAA